GAGGTTCCATTCTGGACATGGTTTCTAGCCCATCTGAGGATTATTTTTCCATTGCTCAAAGCGGCCTTCCATAGAAGAACCTTCCATAGAAGAACCTTCCATGGAACCTGTGGTAACCAAAGAAACTCAAGCAATGACTTTTGGAAACTTCTTATAAGCTGCTCTCCTCAGAGGAGAAAATCATCAAATTGGAAGAGAACCTAGTCTGGTGAAACATCCTACCTGAAAGTGGATTCATCCTTGACAATATCAGTTCAAAGGAGTATGTGCCACCCACTTTAGGGACATTGAAACTAACACCCTACATAAGCTCCTCGATTCCAAGGACCGTGATGATCTGCCAGTCAGTCCACAAGTAACCATGTATTGAGCACCTTCTGTGTGTATGCTGTGCTGGAACTATTAATAGTAAAGCAAAATGAAGACAGAATGGAAGCTCCTTGAGGATGGGAACTTTGTCTTATTCGTAGCTAATCCCCAGTGCCTAAATTTGCCCTTAGTATATAGTAGATGCTCAACAAATATTTATCAACTAACATATCTTATTAATTTCATGTCCACATAGTCATATAGGTGGGTGCTTACTGACAAGGAAACAGGCTTCACATGAAGTGACCTGCCCAAAGTCACATGGCAGTAACATCAAAGCCAGAACTTTAAAACCCTGAACCAAGCTCCTCCCTTGTCTGAAGTGTAGCTCCACACAGCAGCCCCCTCTGATTGAGGACAGCAGGCCTCCCACTGACAGCTGATACTCACCGTTAGCTAAAAAGAATGATGCAGGGCCCTAGAGTAGATAGTACTTACTGCTGCTGTGTGAAGAGACAGGAGGCCAAATCAGAGGGGACTGCCCTGCAGCATTAGAAATGGGAGTAGGGGGCCTTGCTCAGGCCCCTCATGGAGATGGCTGATGCACAAGGTTGCTGAGTGTTCTAGCTTAAGGTAAGGGACCCACTGTTAGAGAAGAAATTCAAGTTGTGAATGGAACAGTTTTCCATATTACTTTCGAAACAAATGCATTTGAAATGGTGTTCTGAGTTCAGAGGTTTCAAATGTAGTTTTGCTGTCCCTGCTTTTTTTTTTTTTTTTTTTTTTTTGGTCTCTCTGAGACAAAGTCTCACTCTGTCGCCCAGGCTGGAGTGCAGTGGTGCGATCTCGGCTCACAGAAGCCTCCTCCTCCGCCTCCCAGGTTCAAGCGACTCTCCTGCCTCAGCCACCCAAGTAGCTGGGATTACAGGCACATGCCACCATGCCCGGCTAATTTTTGTATTTTTAGTAGAGACGGGATTTCACTATGTTGGTCAGGCTGGTCTTGAACTCCTGACCTCAGATGATCCGCCCACCTCAGTCTCCCAAAGTGCCGGAATTACAGGCGTGAGCCACCATGCCCGGCCTACTGTTCCTGCTTTTTAAAAAGACATAATTGTCCATTTTTATTAAGTAGAAAACAGTCCTTTTATTTATTTCTTGTTTTGCAAAAGACAGCCTAGAACTGATGGCTCTAAAGCTGGAGATGTATGTCTCACACACTTCTCAAGCCGTACACTGTCACCATAGTGACTACCTCTACAGCACGGCTGTTCTTCCCCAGGAATCAACCTTTTCATCTACTATGTCCTCAGCTCTTTTCCAAATGTTGTGAGAGAGGAAAAGAAATGCAGAGATGAGGCCGGGTGCGGTGGCTCACGCCTGTAATCCCAACAATTTTGGAGACCAAGGTCGGCGGATCACCTGAGGTCAGGAGTTTGAGACCAACCTGGCCGACATGGTGAAATCCTGTCTCTACTAAAAAACAAAAATTAGCTGGGGGTGGTGGCACATGTCTGTAATCCCAGCTACTTGGGAGGCTGAGGCAGGAGAATCGCTTGAACCCAGGAGGTGGAGGTTGCAGTGAGTTGAGATCACGGCACTGCACACTCCAGCCTGGGCAACAGAGTGAGACCCGGTCTCAAAAAAAAAAAAAACCACACACACACAAGAAAGAAACGCAGATGCTGTCTGCCTTCAAGAAGCACAGCAGCTGGATGAGAGGACAACAATGAAATGCAGGAACCTGGGAGAACTTCCAAATGCTCTCCTTGTACTGAGCTTGGAAAAAGAAGAGATCACTATGGATGCAAGTAAACAGGGATGGCTTTCTTGACCAATCCCGCCTAACTCTAGTCATCTGATGACCTCCCCCTTTTGCCTAAACTGGTCAGTGCTCTCTTCTGTGCATTATTTCATGCTCAGGAGTAATTACAATTTGATGTGAGAGGCGGTACCGAGCAGTGGCTCAGAGCACAGACTCTGAAGTCAATATGGTACAGAGGTGAATCCCAGCCCTGCCGATTAGTAGCTGTGTGACTCCAAACCTCTCTATGCCTCTGTTTCCTTAGCTGTAAAATGTGGGCAATAATAATAATAATGCTAACAGTAAAAGCTACCTCATAGGATTGATGTGAGGATTAAATGAACTATGAAAAGCTCTTAGAAGATATCTGTTACCTAGTACTCAGCTCAGTAAGTATTAACTGTTTTGTTATTAAAACGTGTGTGTTTCTGCCATTTGTATTTAACGTATGTCCTTGTGCCTGGCTCACCTCCCTTTTATACGGTAACCTCCATAAGGACAGGCATAGTGCCCCCTTCTTCCTTACCTCTTTACTGCTTGTATTAGTCCATTTTGCACTGCTACAAAGGTACACCTGAGGCTAGGTAATTAATAAAGAAATGAGATTTAATTGGCTCATGGTTCTGCAGCCTGTACAGGAAGCATATGGCTGGCATCTGCTTCTGCTTCAGGAAGTTTCCTTATGGCAGAAGGCACAGGGGAAGCAGGCAGTCACGTGGTGAGAGAGAAGGAGCAACAGAGAGAAACAGGAGAGGCTCTTTCAACCAACCAGATCTCACGTGAGCTCATTACCACGGGGAGTTCACCAAGACACGGATGAAGGATCCACCCCCATGATCCAATACCTTCCACTAGCCCCACCTCCAACATTGGGGATCACATTTCAACACGAGATTTGGAGGGGACAAGCATCCAAACAGTATCACTGCTTTTCGGTGTTGTATATACAATTCGGGCCCCATGGTTTCGGCATCCTGGATATTCCAGTACTGTTCAGATTTCAAAGATTCAGCTGTACTTTCTAAGCTCGGTTATTATGACCTCAGTTCATAGTTACTATGTTGGTGCAAAAGTAATTGCGGTTTTTGCCATTAAAGGTATGGCAAAAACCGCAATTACTTTTGCACCCACATAATATCAGATCATGTATCCCAACATGGGGTTCAGAAAAGAAGTCCCTATCAATAGCTATCATTGGCAGCCTCTAGCAGCTTTGCTTTCTCTTGACAGAGTGCTCTAGCAATGCCCGGGAGCCCTTCTACAGAGGCTGGACAACTCCCCTGGTGTTTGACAGCCGGCTCTGTTCTGCGTGCCTTCGGCACTAAATGCTTTCACCTGTCCCCACCCCAACCCCACCCACAGAATCCTTTCCTTGGTTTTAATAAACATCCAGCTGTCTTCGTCCATTTTCTGCTGCTATGACAGAATACCACAGATTGGGTAATTGATAAAGAACAGAAATGTACTTCTCACAGTTCTGAAGGCTGGTAAATCCAAGATCAAGGCACTGGCAGGTTTGGTGTCTGGTGAGCATCTGGTCTCTTCTGCCAAGATGGCACCCAGAATGCTGCATCCTCTGGAGAAGAGGAACGAGTGTCCTCACATGGCAGAAGGCAGAAGGGGAAAAAGGAGCCAAACTCCCCACCTCTCAATACTGTTGCATTGGGGATTAAGTTTCCAGCACATGAATTTGGGGGAAACATTCAGACCATAGCATCAGGTATGGCCAAGTTAAGTAACTTGCCACCTACTGGCAAGCAACCCAAACTCAAAGGTCTGGGACATGCAATTTCAGATAAGGAAAATGTGTCCCAAGATAATAACTCGGGAATTAATAGTTATTAATTGGTGAAGATAATAACTGGTGAAGACAAAGTCAGACTGACCCAAGCAAAGAGGTGACAGGCAGATCTGCGTGAACAGAAATTCTCTAAAGATCAGGGATGGAAAATGAAAAATCAAAGTGAATTATAAAAACATTAACCTGGGTTGGGTACAGTGGCACGTGCCTGTACTCCCCACACTTTGGGAGGTTGAGGCAGGAAGATTGCTTGAGCCCAGTAGTTCAAGACCAGCCCTGGCAACAGAGTGAGACCCTGTCTCTACCAAAAAAAAAAAAAGAACTAGCTGGGCACGGTGGTGCACACCTGTAGTCCCAGCTACTTGGGAGGCTGGGGTGGGAGGATTGCTTGAGCCCTGGCATTTGAGGCTGCAGTAACTGGATGACAGTGCAAAATCCTGTCTCAAAGAAAAAGAAAAAAGAAAGAAAGAAAAGAAAAAAACAAAAAATCAATGTGGAGGCCCAGAGAGGAAAATCCAGACTTGCCATGGTCTCTGTGATATATTGTCTGAGTTTATTCTTTGTTTTTGTAGCTGTTCACTCCTAAGTCAGAGGTTGAGTCTAACCTCAGTGCTGTTTCTAGTCACTAAACTCTGTTACCTCCTGAGATATATTTCATGGTTTGGGTGTCATAGGGCTAGTGGTTTGTTGTCTGAGGGCAGCCACACAGCACCCTTGGTGGGCAGAGGGCCCAGGTCTAAGGGAGACTAGGCTCTAATGACAGGAAGTGGCCAGAGTGCTTCATCTCAACCAGATGGCTATCCCCAACAGCAGTTTGGAAATTGTCCCTGTAACATTAACACATGGCCCAATCACGTGTGAATCCTGGCCCATTGCATGTTGACAACTTGGCTTTAGTTGGATAACACTGACCACAATATCTTCTCCCCTCCCACCCCCTCCAGTGAGACCCTTGAATGGTAGGAAACAATTTCTCTTTTTTAGCGTTGGGTAAACATGTGTAATTAGCCTTGTGCTTATCTCCATTAGTATCATTAGACTTGAAAACCCAGTTTAATCTGGATTCTGCTCTCTTCTCAATGTCAGCCTGTTTCTGGACCAGTACAGAGCCAGCCTTGTTGATGCAATAAAGAGATTACTCCAGCCCGGGGTAAGTATGTTTCTATTTTCTCCTGAACACTGGCTACAGAATAATTAGTCTGTGCACAAAGATGGAGAGAGTAATGGAATGGCAGGATTAATGTCATGTAATACTTTAATACTTATTATGTCCAACTTCAATTGGGTCTTCTGATCTATTAGATTCTTTCCTAATCATAACTAGGAAACTTCGTACCCTTGGCCTTCTGATAAGAAACACAGTGGGTAGTAAAATAAATGCAACCACTTCAAAGATAGTGTGAGATTATTTTTATCAAAGAATTTCTTGAGTCTTTTTCTTTGATAACAATATCTTCATATTAAAGTTGAAGTATGATATTGAAAGTTTTCTGTTGACTTCTGTCATTTTTAATTCCTTCAATGGCAACCTTTCTCGTTGGTTATTTATTTATTGCAAAAGAATACTTTTTTCTTTTTATTTCTGTTTATATTAAAGAAAAGGACTTCAGATGAGTCTGTATATTAATAGTCCTTTGCTTTAAAAGGAAGCCATTAGTTACGTATTATAAACATTAGGTCACAATGAAACCAAGCATGGCATAAAAGATTGTGCACATTTTTACATTTATATATCCATTTATGCCTGTGAGTAAATTACAGAGTTTGTATCCACTCTTATTTTGTTGGACTGTTAAACTAAGCTGGGAGGTCCTGCAGCCTAAACGGAGAGTTAATATACATCTATTTAAAGTAAGAAAACGAGTTTAAAGCTCATGCATTTAAAAAAAAAAAAAAAAAACCTTATAACTATGTAAGACTCTTGCTGTGCCATAGGAATTTAAAATAGGTTAACAGTATTAATATAGTCGAAGATAGGAACGCATATTTATCTGAGAACACTGAAGTGTGTGTGTGTTTCTGAAGTATTTTTTTTTAAAGGTCCGCTCTAGTCTTCTGACTCAGTGAGACTTACAGACCAATACCTTTCAACCTTTCTTTTATATCTTTATCGTAACCTTCAGTGGTTCCCAGAGCAATCTGATAATCATCCTTTGCCATACACTGCTGCTTTTTATTTTTCTATCTCTATGTAGCTCAGAAACTTAAAATAGGTCTCTTGGAGGAGTAGCCATAGCTTCCTAAGTGATAGTTAGTCCAATTCAATTGGCTTCCTCAGTTCCCCCTGTGAAATGGGCAGCAGATCTTGAGGCAAGGAAGGGGCATGTTCCAAGCTATTGATGGCCACTGCATGGCCACCCAAGTTGACGACCAAAGAAGGAATTTTGGGTGTCTGCATCCCCCCGACCCCTGTTGGCCTTGGGTGATTCTTGTGGGCATTTGCAAGACCAGGATTTTCAGGGATGGCTCAAGGTTCTTGAATATGAAAGCCTCTATGAAAATGTATCATACATAAATATAATGCTTTCAAGGACTCCGGATCTCACACTGCCCAAACAGTACTTCACTCATCACCAATACCCCTTCAAAGCCCATTTGTGGCAAATACTCCATTTTGCAGCAGATTTGCATGATTTACCTAGGATCCACTGTAAATCATTCAGATGATTTACAATAGAAAAGTGCCTAAGCTATGAATAGATCTAAATGCAGATTGGACTGGAATCCAGCAGCTCTTCTGTACCCTCTAATAAACCCTGAACACACTCCCTCTGTCTGAAGTGTGGCCACACGCGGCAGCCCCCTCTGAGCAAGGACAGCAGCCCTCCTACGGACAGCTGATACTCACCCTTATCCTAGAGAAGGTTGGGGCAGGGCCCTAGGCGAGGTGGCACTTATTCCTGCTATGTGAGGAACAATGAGGCCAAGTCAGAGGGGTTCACACTAACCTGTAGCATTAGAATGGCAGTGGGGGGGCCTCACTTAGGCCCCTCTTGGAATGGCTGATACCCAAGGCTGCCAGGTATTCTAGCCTAAAATGTAAGGAGCCCACCACCAGAGGGGAAATCCCAGTTGTGGATGGACTTACCAAAATTACCACCCAGGAACCTCATCCCCATCAAGAGGTCTGGGGAGGTGAGCACTTGTCCTCCCTGAGACTCCACCCAGATGGACCACAGAAGGATCATGTGGGCTTGCCAGTGAAGAGCCCAGTCCCACATCCTGTGCTGATGGACTAGGAGGCTAGGAGCATGGGAGTATCCAGAGGACAACTGGACTTTTCTTCTTAGCTTTCAGGGCTGGCTGTTTGGCTTCTGGAGGACCTCCCGCTGCTGAGTATACAGTCCAAGACTAAGAAAATGGTCAAGGTTTTATTCCATTACAATTAGAGCTGGTTTTAGTGTTCTCTTGAGCCCAGACAACTCTTCCATGGTTTTGTGGCCCAGAGGCTGAAGGTGTCACAAGAAGCCCACAGAGAAACAACATGGGGGGCTACATAGTGGACCCTGAATTCTTGATGATTCAGTGCAAGATACAGCAAGTTCTCTGTGCACTTCCAGCAAATGCAAACACTGCACTTTCAGCAAATGCTTCAAGTTCATAGTGTGGCCCCGGTTTCTGAAGGTCTAGGGTAGCGGGTGGAAAGAGTCAGAAAAATCTGCATACAAATCCCAAGTCTACATTAAGTACCTTGCCTCTCTGAGCCTGAGTTTCCTCACCTGTCAAGAGTTAAGACTAATGCCCACCTTGTGGGCTGGTGTGAAATATTTACATATGTAAATCCTTGGTCTGTGCCTGGCTTACAGGAGGTGCTCCTTAAGGGGAGCTGCTTCTCTTTTATTGCTGTAAAACTTATCAAGGTTAATCCACATGAGATGTTTATCCAGGGGGACACTGGCTTGGTTGATGGGACACCTGAGTTCCAGGCCCAGTGTGGCCCTAACAGGCTCTGGAATCACCTCTTGCTCCATTCTCCCCAAAGAGGGAAAATGAGGGAGTTCACCCGTGCTCTCATAGAGTTCTATCAGCTCTGAAATCCTACATTCTCCTCGCAGAGACAAAGTATACATGGGCCGTGGAGGCAGAAAGCTTAGGCCCAAATCTGGTCTCTGCCATTGACTGAATTAATGTCTGGAAGTCTCAGTTTCTCATCTGTAAAATGGGGTGTGAAAAAGCCGATGCACTGTAATGCACATGATTGGCTCAGAGTATCTATTCGAGGTTAGCTCTGGTTACTTTGGTAAATACAGACTATGGGGGCCTTTTTTTGTTTGTTTGTTTAGATGGAGTCTCGCTCTGTTGCCCAGGTTGGAGTGCAGTGGTGCAGTCTCGGCTCATTGCAACCTCTGCCTCCTGGGTTCAAGCGATTCTCCTGCCTCAGCCTCCTGAGTAGCTGGGATTACATACATGTGCCACCACACCTAGCTAATTTTTATATTTTTGGTAGAGACGGCTTCACCATGTTGATCAGGCTGGTCTTGAACTCCCGACCTCGTGATCTGCCCGCCTTGGCCTCCCAAAGTGCTGGAATTACAGGCATAAGCCACCATGCCCGGCCTTATGGGGGCCTTTTTCCAAGCATTTTCCTGGAGAAATGCTGGTGGGAGGGGAAGACATGATTCTCTTGACTTAGACTTTGAAACTTTCTGCACATAATTGGCACACGGCGTCTCCCCTGCACATATATCCTGAACACCTGTAGCAGGCCCTGTACTGGTTCTGGGAGGATTGTCTACCTGGACGAAGATGACACTTTACTACAGAGAGTCCCCACCGAGTGGGGGAGAGTACTCTACATTGGCAAGACAGAAGTAACTGCGAAATGAAGGTTCAAGTGTCAAGCTGTGGGAACAAATGAATTCTGCCATTTAGGGGAGTATGGTTGATTTCTACCTTGAGCAAATCAGTTGTCTGGGGTCAGAGGGTCCAGAAGCAAAGAAAGTAGATGGAGAGGGGGAGTGTCCCTGCCTTTCATTTTCTATACTGGAGCTCTGAATGAAAAGAGGTCCCCAGAGAGAGCTTAGCCACCTGGGTGGGCTCCTCGCTTGGCCCAGGGGTGATGTCACATCCCAGGCTGAGCTTAGATCCTCAACCAAACAGCCACCTGTGCCTGAAAAGTCTTTACAGGAGGCCCCAAATTTTAGCAGGGAATGTTTGTTACCACCTGAAATGCAGGCTTTCCTCAACCTGCTGGTCTAAATAAACTGTAAAGATAGTTAACTCCTGTCATAACACTACAAGGCACTCTCCAGCAAATAGATGAAAACAATAGAATAGGTGTGAAAAAGGAATGAAATCAGCACATTTTATCCATTCCAAGAAGCAATCCCCAACCCCCCTGACCCACTTTTCCCTCTGGTGAGTGGCTCCTTGTTACTGATGATTGATAGGGTGACTCACTGTCATTGTATTCCTTAAAAGTCCATGACAACAGCAGTGTCCAGTATCAGAGGACCCAACTGTAATTTAAAATACAGGCACAGCAGCCTGCAAGTTGAACTTTCGTCCAGAAATGACAACCAACAAATGGTATCTACTAATATTCCTCTGAAATGGCTTTGGGTACAGGGAGGGGAGCCAAGCCAACCAGACAGGGTGAGTTTACTCAGAGCCAGAGGACAGAATATTGACAGTAATCCAGCTTGTTACCACTGCTAACCAACTGTCAAGAATTCAGAAATATCACTGTAGAATTCACTTAACCTTCTTCAGAAATTGGCCCTAACCGACCACCAGATTCCCAGAGTCCTGCCTATATCCAAGGTGTGCTATCAATGTAAATCATAAACTCTCATATTAGAAAAGCAATTTTTTGTGGGGGGACAGGGTCTCACTCGGTCACCCAGGCTGGAGTACAGTGGCACCATCACCACTTACTGCAGCCACGAACTCCCAGACTCAGGTGATCCTCCTGCCCCCTCTCAAATAGCTAGGACTACAGGCATGCACCACCATGTCTGGCTAATTTTTGTATTGTTTTAGAGATGGGCTTTCATCATGTTGCCCAGGCTGGTCTTGAACTCCTGGGCTCAAGCAGTCCTTCTTGGCCTCCCAAAGTGCTGGGATGACAGGCATAAGCCACTATGCCCAGCCAAGTTCTTTTTGCTGAGAGACTTTCTCATCTTTTTTTAAAAAAAGTCTAACATCTCT